TTGCCAGACATTGCAGAATTAGACATTGAAGAAAAAAGCTTTTGATCACTTTAGGTGAAAGTATTCACAAAGCAGAAGCCAGTAGATCAGATGACATTTGTTTCTGTCTTAAGGTACGGAATCCTCCACAATTGTGGGACTAAGGAGTGCTAGCCACTCGTTTAACACATGAACACCTTAAAAAGTATAGTAATTATATTGTAGGGAGGGAGTAGGGCAAATACAGCATATTCCTCACTGCTAATGAGTTCTTTTTATGGCCTAATCACTAGGCATTCAAGAGGTTTTTCCTATGAAATTTGAAACGTAAATGTTAATTTTGGATGTGTATTAGCTATTTGCATAGGCAAGACTTTCACTGGAAGCTTACATAATTTCATGTTCTAGCTTAAAACATTTAAAAATAGAAATAGTATAAATGTATCATAAATTAATGTTAAAATAAATCCCAACTAATTATATCATGATGTATATATAACAAGAATTTCTCATTGTTGCTATTCTTTTTTACCATACTACTTCTCTCTTTTTCCCCTTACTTAAGTTAAGCTGTTCTTCCCTACTGTATTCAGGAAAATTAAAAATTTCAATATTTGGAAGCCAAAGGTTCATTCATAGTATTCATTAAGCAGTAAGTAGTCAAAGCAGCTTACTAACTCTATCAACATTAAGTTTAAAAAAGTAATTGCTTTTACTTGTAGAATATGCTGCCATTTTGCACCTGCAATTGAGTGCAAGCGATTGAGTGCCAGCAAAGTATGCAGTCCAGTAGCATACCTAAGTTATGTTTTGTTCAGTCGTATTCTCACACAATCTCGGCCTGAAAAAGCAAAAAAAAAAACCTAAAAACAATCCCAGAGATTTGTGTTTTGAAAGCTGCTTCACTTGCCAAATGAACAAAAATTGCAAACAAATATCCACACTTTTTTTTGCTTCGTGGCACAGCATGTTTGATTTGCTCACAAGGCTGCTAAACAGTTTCATAACATGCAAGAGATAATTTGGTCAAACAAATACAAGTTCTCTAATCAGGTGATCAAGTCTCAAAGCAAATGAGATCAAGCAAAAATATCACAGATCTGCCAAAATCCCAGTAATTAAAATGCTGTCGAGACTGGAGAATATTTTGGACATACCTGCCACCTGGTGTTTGGAAAACAACCTTATGTCTGAAAACAACCTGAAATGCTCTGAAATCTGTATTCCCATTAAGAAGCAAACAAACAGTGATGTATTTAATATGGAATAAATGGATAAGCAGCAGAAGTGTCTAGGTCGGTGTTATTACCAGCATCTGTCTAAAAGAAAAGGAACAGGGTGACTTAATGTTCCTTCCAGTGCCATCTCTACTAACCACAACAATTCTCAAGTAAATCTTTGAATTAAGTGTATTTACACATCTCCTGTCAGATAATGGCACTTTTGATGAGAAACCTCCTGGGCACAGCCTTATACAACTTCACAGTCTAACTGTGAACTACAGTGTGCCAAACCCAAAGGCAAAGGAAAGAAGGACGTTATTTGAGATGGAGCTAGGTAAAAAAAGGACTAGCAGTAGATAATACTGGGTAGTAAGTGAGTCAGCAGTCAGTGTCTGAAATTACTGTGATGACTATTCATATGTCTTAGCTAAAATACTTAAAAACCCCCAAGTTTTTGTAGTGGAAGCAGCAATGACAGTAACTACCACTTTTGCATGTTTGATGCCTGAAGTAAACATTCCTCGTTGGTAACAGTAAGCATATAAACTGAGATAAATCACGTCTAATCTTTACCTACCAAAGCGTTACTTCAAGTGGAGCCTAAAGCTTCAGTGTAGGCAATTGGACTGATTACTGTGCAATTCACTGATATCAAACTGTACCTATAGCACGAGGGATTTTTTTTTCCCTACCTTTGCAAAGTTAATTTAAATACATCTGTGTTTCACAGTTATAACTCAGGGTGAAACCACAGTCTGAAGTCAGTCTCAGCAATGTAAATAGCTAGCATTTAAGTTAGCACCCCTGGCAAGCACAAACTGTAACTATTTGTCTGGAATGCCATCTTCCTAGGGCTGCCAAAAATAAAGCAAAGTGTAGCATTTGGGTTTTTCTTTTTCTTCAAGGCAATGGAGGTCAAATGCAATCGTGTCCTTAGATGCCCCACTCTATTTTTGTCCTAGTAACTTTGAAAATGATACGCACTAGGAGGCCAACACTGTACATTTACTGTGTACACGTTATCTCAGGTGTTTGCATCAACAACTCTTAACAGCAGAACACAAAGATCCAAACATAACCTATTAATTGAGAACCATGCAGTTGCATGTAGAGAAGGTAGCTATAGGTTTACTTGTCAAATGCAGGGAGGTGGGGTTTTTTTCATATTTATTCTCAATCCAAAATCCTGCTTAATTCTCATGAACTTTTTCCAGAATTTAGTTACTGCCTAATACAGGGCACAATTGCTTTCTCAGCATCTGAAGAACATAATAAGGAACTTTGTAAAGCAGAAGGTACACTTCTTGCTTTCTGTCAACAGTAACTGCTCAGCACAGACAGAAGTTAGGACTATTTTCTTGCCTTAGTATTGATGGGGGAACCTAATGACTCTTGTATGAGCTTTACAGAGAGCACAAAGGAGAGGGGAAAAAAATACAAAAAGCTGAAAAAAAAACTGGGGAAAAAGAAACACGCTAACCACAAACAAAAATTACATCACTGGTCTAGCATGTTGATGGCTACTAACAGTAGAGCCAGGATCATTGCTTCTGTATAAAGTTGAATACTAGGCTGTTTATTGGATGTTACTAAAAATGTAAACAAAAAGAATACTTTCTGCTCCTACAAAAGCATCAGATTCAAAAGGTATCACTCCATTCTTTTTTGGTCTGTTCAAGCCTGTTGCAGCAGACCTATTCTTGTTAGTCACAGCTCTTGCAAAACCTGCTTAATATTCCATCTGAGTTACTCTACCTTAGTATTACTTTAACTGACAAATATGAAGATAATAATGTTGCATACAACCTAGTGTCACCAAACCCATGCTTTCCATTCCCATTTTTGTTTCAGCAAACAAAATGTGCCTTAAAAACCTTCTCAGGAAATGGAACAAATCTGCAAGAAGCTAAGAGAATATACTTGGAAGGCCTCGCTTTGTGCTAACTTTACTATATTTTTCCTTAAAAATCTGCTACTGATATCAAAGACGAGGGAGCAACCAAATAAACACTTTGCATAATTAGGTATCATAAAAGAAAATTATATGAGTATTTTTTAACTTTTCCATGAACAGTGTTCTTTCAGCCTTAAAATGTGTAATATACTGTGGCCCACGCAAGCCTTATTTTCAGTGCACAGCTCTGAAAAATGGCATGTTCTACTGTACTGAAATTGCCTAGCACATTCTTCTTCAGCTACTGCTTAAAAGGAAATTGGCTACTGAATCCATAAAACAAAACAGGTAGCCAGAAAAATTGGGATAGTCTGCAGTACTAGGAAGGATCTGTGTGGACACTACTGGCACAAGCTGTTCCTCAACCTGTGTGTATATATAATACCATAAACTTAAACATAAACTTAAATATGCCAAGTTTTAACAGTTATTTTTCTTAATGAAAAACTTACGTCTTCATCTTGAGTGTTGAAACTGTTTCAGTTCTAAATCTTTACCAAGCCGTGGTAAAACCCAATCATCAGTTGTTTCAAATATGAAGAAATGCGTGCTTTGTTCCCAAAGCATCGATAATCCTGTTTTCTATGGAAGAGTGTATGTGGGATGTTTGATTCTCTATAGCAGAGTTTACTGCAACACAGTATCTTGAAGCAGTAGAAGAGATGCCCAAGCCTTTTCAAAACCTGAGGAAGCACCATCTTTATCAGGCTCTTTTACCTCTAGGAAAGGAAAAAAAAAAAAACAAAAAATGTTACAGGCAAAAGATCATGTACTGGTTTTTCAGGGGTACCACTTACTAGTTACATAAGAATAGATATTGGGTTTGCGTGGCAAGGTTTTGGTAGCAGGGGGGCTACAGGGGTGGCTTCTGAGATGTGCCACATCCGACAAAGCCCATGCCAGCCAGCTCCAAGCCGGACCCGTCGCTGGCCAAGGCCGAGCCCATCAGCAACGGTGGTAGTGCCTCTGGGATAATGTATTTAAGAAGAGGGGCAAAAAAACCCTGTGCACCTGCAGCTGGAGAGAGAACACGTGAGAGAAACAGCCCTGCAGACCCCCAGGTCAGTGAAGGAGGGGGAGGAGATGCTCCAGGTGCTGGAGCAGAGATTCCCCTGCAGCCCGTGGTGAAGACCACGGTGAGGCAGGCTGTCCCCCTGCAGCCCAGGGAGGTCCACGGTGGAGCAGATCTCTACCTGCAGCCCGGGGAGGACCCCACGCCGGAGCAGGGGGATGCCCAAAGGAGGCTGGGACCCGGAGGGAAGCCCGTGCTGGAGCAGGCTCCTGGCAGGACCTGTGGATCTGTGGAGAGAGAAGCCCACGCTGGAGCAGGCTTGCTGGCAGGACTTGTGACCCCCCACGCTGGAGCAGTCTGCTCCTGAAGGACTGTAGCCCATGCGAGGGACCGCACACTGGAGCAGGGGAAGAGGGTGAGGGGGAAAGAGCAGCAGAGACAACGTGCAATGAACTGACCACAGTACAGTACAAACATTAAACTTCTACAAAACAGGACCAGAATCGTTTCCTACTTCCTAGCATAACTTGTATAACTGACGCATTTATATGTGTTAAAGCAGATGTATATCTACAGATAAGAGTTTCTAGCCCCACAAGTTATTTAAAATCCTTTTCTCAGGAAGTTAACAGACAGACATGCAGATATCACTGTAACCAGATTTAAGCAACTTGCGTACCATTATATTTCAACCTCTGCCTTAAATCAGGGTATGCCATTTACAATTGTTCTTGAAGCTCACAACTGGACAGAGACAAAAAATATTAAAATTAAAAAAGCATATTTTATTTTCAGCTTTAAAGATGCATGTCTAAACAATCAGTAGAAAAAACAAGTAAAAAAAGTAAACACCAGCATTTTGTAAAATCACATTGAACTAATACAAGACTTAATACAAAGTTTCCATATACCACTCAAATGCAGTTAAAAAAAAAAAAAAAAAAAAAGAAGTTTGGTCCCCAAAACCCCTTCTACTTGAAATAAATCATTAATTACCCACAGATTTTAACTATAAAACAAGGATACATTCTTTCTTTTTTCTTCCATTTATGAAGTCAATTGCCACATAGGTCAATCATTTGCAAGTGAAATGCACGTAGTCTCAGTTACAGAATTGAACGCATAGAATTCCATGATTGAAGGAAGTCCTTCTGTTTTCAGTATAGGCTCTTTTTCAAGTCAACACTCGTCACATGTCTTTAGACTGATCATCTTCTTCAAGTTTCCTGATTTCACTCTTTAAACAGTTGATCGTTTCACGACTTGCTTTTAGTCTTTCTTTAAGCTCAGCAATTTCAAAACTAGTTTTCTTTTTGGCAGCCTCCAGCTTTTCCCTGGTTTTCACTTCAAGATCTGCAACTGTGGTGGTGATAAAGAAAAAATAAATATTGTAAGTAGCATGGAAATTTGTAATTATGCAATTTTTTTGAATTGCAACAGTAATTTGGATGGTGTGTGTCCTGAAAAAAATCTATCACTGTTAGCCTTAGAGATTCAATGATTGCAGTCAAAATGGTATCCAAATAAAAACCTGAAATTAAAAATAAAAGAAGAAAAACCAAGCTTGTTTTGTGGCCTCATTCAGCCCATCAGTTTTGTGGATGGAGTTAAATAATTCACCAAATAATTTTCCAGAGATTTTAAAGATTAAGGGGGTGGGGGGGGACCTGACATGGTGACAGAAAATAAATGGGAGATTACAGAGAATTACAAATAATTTATATGCGGTGCCCAGCGACAGGACCAGAGGCCATGGGCACAAACTGAATCACGGGAGGTTCCCTCTGAACATCAGGAAACACTTTTTCACCGTGAGGGTGACCGAGCACTGGCACAGGTTTCCAGAGAGGTTGTGGAGTCTCCATCCTCGGAGACATTCAAAAGCCGTCTGGACACGGTCGTGGGCAGCCTGATCCTGGTGGCCCTGCTTGGGTGGGGGGTTGGACAAGACGACATCCAGAGGTCCCTTCCCGCCTCAACCATCCTGTGGTTCCTTTTCTGTGTACTGTAACCACTTTCTACTCTCTGTCTCCCTGGAGTTTAATTCCAAGTATCTAAAAGATGTAGTGGTGCTGCCTTTGCTTTTATAAGTATCTGACATTAGGACATCTCAATCTGGTTTTTTGGGATTTCCTAATTTTTTTTTTTTTTTTTTTTTTTAACTTGTTCATGCACAAGTTTTTGGACAAAGCTGGTAGAGCCAATAAATCTGTGGAGGCCATGGGTATATCTTCATATCCCATACACTACATAATCATGGGCAGTGGCAAAAAAAAAAAAAAAATCTTAACTTTTATCTGCGTCAGTAGCACATTTTAAGGAAATATACACAAAAAACCCACTAAAAGTTTCTTTCTACTCTCAGGAGAAACATCTAGAAACTTTAAGCGAAAAAAGTTTAAATTTGGGCATGGCTTTTTTATGATGCAAATTATTAAACATTTTCTACATGTAAACCGTAACAACATGCGATATAACTAAAATCCACCTCAAGACTGGCTAAACTGAGGTAGAAAATACAAGTAGCTCACATGTCCGCACCCCCAAACAGATGTAAGGCAAATTGGAACCCTAACTTTGTAGAGCTGCAAACTCAAAACCACTCTCAGCTCTAGGTATTCACCGTCTAAAAATACCTGACAGTTGTTGTCAGGGGAACACGCAGACAAGCCAAAGGCCAGGTGAGCTGGACTATGATGGCATTAGAGTTGGTAACTAAAGAGGTAGGATTTGGGCTCAATAAATACAATATTTGCTTTTTGAGAGTAGAAGAAAAGAGATGAAATCCAGAAGATCAGAAATCATCACTAAATGCATTACGTTTTACAAATCAATGTATTTTAATGTCATTTCTTTAATTCCCTTAATATTCTGGTTTATATTTGAAAAGAGATTAGATAAAAAGGACGCAAAGAACATTAAGCTATACTGAAGAAGTTATGTTATGAAGTGACCTACAGTTAAAGACTGAGACAGAAGGGAAAAAGACAAGAAGAGCTTTCAGGCACAACTCTATCGCCAAAGGGTTGCTGCTTTGACTTAACAGTACTAACTCTTCCGTACTTCAGTGCTTAAAGTGTCATCTTTGCTTGCAGTTAACACCCCGATGAGCTGAACAGAACTGTACCACAAACGGAGTGGCCTTAATTTATTCTCGGGTTTAACTAATTTCAAAGACGTTAAACAAGGTGTAGATCATGCCATCACTCTTCATACTGAGTAATTCATAATTATTTTTTTCAGCAGGCATACAGATCAGAAAATCTTAAAACATTTTCAAGTAACTATTAATATCTTTGCAAAAGTTGAAGCTAATTTAATGCAAAAATACCACTTTTTAGCAGCATCCAAATCCATGGAACTGTTACAGCCCAGAAAAAAACACTAAGAGCAAAACCAACTATTGTTTATTTCTAAAATTAAAATATTTTCATTTTCAACTTACACTCTGTTTCATGCTTATAAGCACCTAGCGTTAGCTGACGAGATGTCGTTAACAGCTGCTGCATCATTGCAGTAGGATCTTGAAATATCTAACAAAGGAGAAAAATACATGGTATCACTAACACTCTTCAAAATAAAGTGAGGATTACATTAAAATTTTTCATACCATTTCGTCATAGAATTCAGAAACTACAGTTTTCTTTCCCAGGATGGCATTGGTATCGGACTGGAAAAGCTTCAGCAAGTGATACAAGGTTACCTATACAAAGACAGAATTTTATTAGCTTGACAACTGTAGGGAAATACAAACCTTCTTCTAGATATCAACAAGCAGTATTTGTTCTTACCAAACAACTGCACATGATTTAAAAATCTTTTAGGAATACACAAATAAACGTCTTACAACTTCAGCAGAATCACTTAACTTTAATGTTCAGTGTTAAACACACCAACTACCCAAAGGCTTCTTTGATACTTTAAGAACGTCTGGGCAAGTGGTTTAGGATTGGTGTATAAAAACTACTACAAAGACCTTCTCATAAACAGTTCCAAACAGATGATTTAGTTCCAAGCTGACTTTGCCAATTAATCAGTTAGAAAGTGCTTTCTGTGCTTTTATCATCCCTTTGTGTGAAAAAAAAAACACTGGGGGGGTGGGGGGCTGTGAGTCGCTTTTCACTGAAATTTCTCTCTGGGGAGTTACTCTTGCGCTGCAAACGGCAGGAGCTAGAGAGGGATGGAAGCCCTCTGTCCAGCCCTGAGGAACCGCTGACCACTTGGACCACGACCTGGGAAGAGGACACACAGCCCACAGTTCCTCCCTGCCACGAGCAGACCCGCGAACGGTGGTGGAAGAGTGCGATACTTTACTCCGGTTGGTATTTCCTGGAAAGGAAGAACACGACAGGCACCGAAACGGCCTCCCAAGAACAGCAGTACAGAAAAAACAGCCAGCCAACTTTGCAACAGTTTGGACAAGCCGTGAACGGAACTAATAGAAGTCAGGATGCTACCAAGCACAGCAGCACAGGAAGCCCTTTTTTCTAGTCTAGTATTGATTTTCACATATTCAAGAAAAACATAAAATTCAGTTTTCCCCTCATTTGGCAAAAAAAAAACCAGCTAAAGCAAAAGGACTGCTGTAGTTCATGCGACAGAAGGAACTCAGTTCTTCCAGAAAAAAATATCCCTTTCCCCTAAAATATGGTAATTGAGTTTCCTACCTAAACCTGGATAAACAAACCTGCAAGACATGTCTAAAACACAGGATGGGAAGAAATTAATTCTAGTGCTTTACAGAATTAGAGAAGGGTCTTAGCCTGCTTTTCTTGGGAAAGAGACTAACGCTAGCATAGTACCTTTGCTGCTTTTTGACTGATTTTGACCAAAGCTGACAGACCAAAAAAAAACCAAACCCAAAAACAAAACCAAAACAATTAAAATATTCTACAACTAGGAAGCCACACAGAAGAGAAATCCTCAGCACGTGTTCAGCCCAGGTAAAGCACAACACGTGGTCACGTATTAGTAAACATCCGAGAAGCCAAGCGCAGGAAAAGCCATTATGAACGCCCCAGCCAGCAGTAAAGCACAGGGACAGGAAAACGTGGCCAGCCATTAAACACATTTCCTACAAGAACAAGCTTTATTACTGCCTTGGCTGATGGGACTTATTTTGACCAGCAATACCCTATAGCACAGCTTTAGGCCACCATAATTAATTAAGCCTTGCTAAAAGTTCGATGTACTTACAGGTCTTTCATTTGGATCAATGAAGAATATCTTAATGATTATTTCAAATTCACCCCAGCCTGTTTCGGTGATTTCATACGGTGGTTTGGTAACAACTGCAGTAGGAAACAGAGGTGTTAATACGGGCAATGAAGCCTCAGTGGAACTAATCAAAAAGCCCATTCTCGGAGCAAATGCCCGAATGCAAAACCCACCTCTTAAAGGATTACCGTAGCTTTCGTGCAACTTGAACTGAATTTTTTTCACGTAGGCAGACATATCCTAAAATAGAAACGTCGTTATTTCTGATTACTTACACAGCACACCAAACCACCGTTTATTCATCCATCCTAGGTGACTAGCGTTTCTTCTGACAGAGCTACCTTTAAAAACAGCAGGAAAGCAAGGCAGTAAATAGCAGAGCTGGCACCGGCGCGGGGGTCTGTCAGTATTTTGTCCCCACGAACGCTCGCCAGTTTTCCCCCGGCCTGCAGGATCACTCGGAAAAACCTCAGAGGAAAAGCGCCTTTCCCTCTCTTTCTCCTTCTCGGAACCCCACCAGCCTGTGCATTTTCCCCCCGCTTCCACCCCAGCGCCTTTCCCTCAAATCCTGGCTTTTTTTTTTAAAGCCGCCGGCGGGGGAAGGTCCCACCTCATTTCTGTAAGGCTTGACGTAAACCGTCCACTGGTGCGTGTGACCATCCTCTTCCCTCTTCTTCCCGAAATACCGCGCCACGTTCCCGTACACGATCGGCTTCACGATGGTAACGCCCTTAAAAACCAAAAAACACCACACAAAACAGAAAGAAAACCCCGAAACCGTCACGTTTCGAAAGCCGCCCGGCTAGGCTCAGCCGCCCGCAGCCCGAATCGAAGGCTCCCGCCCTCCGGCCCCGCACCTTCACCCTGCCCCCGGAGTCAGGCCCGAACTCAGCCATTCTCTTGAACATATTGCCCCGCACGGAGGCGGGGGGGGGGGCCGCCGCCCGCAGCCGCAG